GGAGATCTAACTCTGCAGCATCAGTTACCGTGGTGGTTTAGCTCTGCAGCATCAGTTACCGTGGAGATCTAACTCTGCAGCATCAGTTACCGTGGAGATCTAACTCTGCAGCATCAGTTACCGTGGTGGTCTTGCTCTGCAGCATCAGTTACCATGGAGATCTAGCAGGTTAACAAAGAGCCACCTTCATGACACTGAAAACGCTGACTTGAAGCTCAACACATCTGCTGACTCACTCGTCCCACTTCGTAGTTCAGCCCTCAGTTGACCTAATGTTTACATACATTCAAAACTCAAGGAGGAAGTTTGATTCTTGATTTTGTTTCTGTGACTTCGTAACAGGAGCATTAACCTTCTTACTGTCAGACACAGCTGAGCTTCCAGCCGTTCAATGCTGATCACTCTTTCTGTGCAGATACCATGACACTATCGAGAGATACTGTGACGACACCGACACCTGGGAGATTGTCGGCGAGATGCCCACCAGTCGCAGCTGGCTCAGCTGTGTGTCTCTGCAGCTGAGGAAGGACATCCGCATGTGCAGCTGTCCCGGGATGGCCAACGAGAACTGAGGCGGGACATCGAGTGGGAAGTCGTCCGTGGTTGTTACTTGCACCCTCCTTGGCGACGCTGCGCCACAAAGCTCAGAGCTGAGGAGACCAGCGAACTGAGAAGCGACGCCTGGAGTTGGCGCGGAGCTGTTCGAGCCGTCACTGGCGACAAAAAGTTGTAATCGATGACGGCTTGGGGAAAAAGTCGCACTCACGTGGGTTCCTGTTTTTTGCGTGGCGACAAAGGAACCATCACAATCTCAAGCTACTGTGATCCACGAATTGCTCAGCAGTCGAAAGTCGCTGTGTGATGTGAACATGTTTAGGGTGTCGTTTCTGTGTCCAGCACCTCCAATCAGAAGGGTTTTCCAGCCAACATAGTGTATTTTTGTATTGTTATGTGATGTATTTATTGGGGGTTGGTAAACATTTCGTTTTATTAAAAAAGAAAAAAAAAAAAAAAAAAGTGCTCTGTGGGCCAAAGAATCAAATTGTGAATTTCCACTATTTGAAGGTAACCTGTGAAAGACGTGTACATGTAAGCAGTGTTTTGTAATTACACTTTGTACGTTCTCAATGATTGTCTTTACGACCTGTAACACGTTGAGTATACAGTATTTTTTTAATGTCATGTGCGTCATGCATTTTAGTGAATTTAGGTGAAGCTGAGTTGTAATAAAGATGTTTAATTCTCTACTGTGAAGGCCGGTCGCTTTTTTCTCTCTTTCCAAAAACAAACAAGTGACCACACAAAAAAACAAAAACATTTCCTACAAGAGTCGAACACTTTTTGAGACCATTATTAATATTTTGAGTCTTCCGACTTACAGTATATATCTACGTGGTATTTAGGAAGTCAAAATAGTCACAGTAGTGTTCCTGGTTAGTGCTGATCTTCCCGTATCCTTTTCCATATCTGTGAGGCCACACAATCTGATTTTTTTTTTAAATTTTTTAGTTTTTCTGGCAGTTCTTTTCCAGATAGACACAGTCAAGTTGTGTTCCTCACAGGTTGGTTTATAATGATGCACTCACATATGTACTCAGTTTGTTTGTTTACCTGTGAGTCAGTGATAACTGGTGCGTACATTTCTGGTGTATTCACTTTCTATTTGGAGCCAGTGTTTTTTTTAATATTGTGTTTGCTGTAATATAACAATACATTTTACCATAATGGTGGTAAAGAGAGAAATAACTCCACTTATCAACTTGGAAATAGTCCAGTTATTAAGAGATGATTTATTTTTTATCATGGGTTATTGTCAGGTGTTTTTATTTGTATTTTGTTAACCTTGTATAAATACATAAATTCCTCTTGTTTATTTATTTATTGAGTAGTAGCCACACTACGTCAAGAAATAAATAAATCAAAATAACAGATCAACAGCTATTCAAGGACAGTGGCCTCTCAGTAAACACAGTGACATTCCTCTTTTACTGTGTTCTTTATGATGCTCCTAAACTCATTAATGGATGAGTCTGGTTTTAGAGTTGTTTTAGACCTGACCCTGACCATGGGCTATGATGGGAGAACGCTGTTTTACCAAATCTCTTGAAATCCGGGGGACATTTAAACACAACCACTTTGAGGCACGCAGACAGCGACCACATCCTACAAACAACATCTGCTAAATGACGAGCCTGAAGGCCTGAACTTGCTGCAGCAGCCGAAGTCTATCTTGAGTCGCTACATCATCTTTGGGCGGCTGCGCGGCGCAGTGCATTGTGGGTCTGACGTAAGTCCGCCGCCATAGCTGTCTTTCTGTACCGGCTGAAGGAGAGAGTCAGGAGTCATGAGAGGAATCCGGTCCTTGAACAACCTATCGGTGAGCCCCGTGTTTTCTCGGTTCGATGTGAGCGCAGTGACCCGCTGAATCTTCACTCTGCTCGTTTCGCTTCCAAACCTGCCCGAAAACCGAAGCAGCCTTTAGCAGTTAGCTCGCTAGCTAGTTAGCCTGCTAGGTGGCAGCTAATGCAGGTTGACTCGGTGTCAGGCAGCCGAGGAAAGTAACGCCTTCGCCTTCGGTCATTCACACGGACTGAAAGCCATAAAATGCAGGTTACCTTCACCTTTTAACACCTTGTCAGGGCGGGTAAGCTTGGCTTTAGCCTTCGTGCGGATCCTCGCTCAGCTGGATGCAACCTGAAGGTCATCTCTGAACTCACGGATCCGAAATTTCTTTTTCGAGGTTTTGCCAAAGTCGCCCCTCATAAGGTCACAACGTGCTGACATCCAGATAAGTCAGCGATATGTTTCCAGTCACAGTAATGTCAGGCTTTGTTGACAGGACACATGTAGGGACTGTGGCCTGAGAGTACTAAATTTACACAGGTCACCTCAGGTCACCTCAGGTCACCCTCTTCCCAGTCACCTCACCGTGCATCAGGACAGGCTGGCATGATGACCTGCAGTATGAGCTGTGCACAAGAAAAACTGTCAGAGATCATTATGAAACCCACAAAGTTGGCTGAGTGAATAAGTTTGGGTTGTAGACTAAGTTTCAAGTCATAATTCATAAAAGTATTGTCATGAAGTCGTCATGCAGCCGTAGTTCACACGCCTTCATTTTCTGTCTCAAAACTTGCTCTATTTAACAGTTTAGGATTTATATCACCACCTCTGTTGTCTGAGCGGTGATGTAGAAAAAAAAAGCATAAATGTGTTTTACACATGGTCCTGATTTGCTGAGAGTCTGTTTTCCGCTGCTGCTGCTGCACTTAATAGACAGAAAAATGTAGAGGATGTTTCATTAACTTTCCTTCGTTATGGGACAGTGTCCGGCGTAAATGCACTTCCTGAGTATCATGTGCAACTGTATAAAGTTTTAAAATGGTATCACAGCAGTTTTCTACCAGAAAAACCTGGTTAACCAAAAAATGTTGATAGCTGTTGTACTGACACCCGTCATCTCTCCTTGGAGGTTTAGGAACAAAGACAGTGAGTCAAACGTGCTTTACAGTTCAGCCTTCTGGGTAATTTAGAAAGTGTTTTCTTGTCCTTTACTTTAAAAGGCCAGGAGAACTCAACCAAGCCCATATTTCTTCAGTGTATTCTTGCCCAGCTAGCTATTCACCTGCAATGTTGACACTCCTTGAAGCTGCATTTGTTTCATGAAGACCTCCTGTGAGGTGAAGTCAGGGAGCTCAACACTTCGTTTAGAAAAAGAACAAGGAAACTGCTACTGAAGAAGTCATTGTCTATAATTCGGTGTCACCACAACCCACAGAAACGTTGCTATGCTGCTGCCAGGAGGAGCGAAGCTCTGACTGAACCCCTCACCATCAGGAAACCCTCCACAGCTGCACCTCTCCCTCCCCAAAATGTCCAGGTAGGCGCCGTTCGTTGTGTGTGTGAATGGAGGCGTGTTTGTCCTCAGTCTGATCTCCTGCTTCTCGTAACGTGTTTCTTTGCAGGTGTCAAAGCTCCCAAACGGTCTGGTGATAGCGTCGCTGGAGAACTACTCCCCCCTGTCCCGTGTCGGTTTGTTTGTGAAGGCTGGGAGCCGCTATGAGACGACGCAGAACCGGGGCGTCTCTCACGTCTTACGACTGGCAGCAAACCTGGTAATTTGTGAATGAGTTTGTGAACGTGCGATGCCTCCAAGAAACCGATTTCTGCTGTAACTGCATTAATTATATTCGTGAGTGTTAGCTTGACAGTTTCTCTCACAGCGACAGACTGCAGCAAAGATGCCATCTGACAGACTAGAGCATGGTTTTGCTGTCTCCTCTTTTTTTCTTTTTCTTTAACAGCATAGTTTTAATATAGTACAGTTTTGTGAAGCAGCACCACCACCCTCAGCCTATCAACTCTCATTTCTCACACCACCTACGTCTTTCTTTTTTTTTTAGACTACAAAGGGTGTCTCTGCCTTCAGGCTCTGTCGTGGTGTGGAAGCCATCGGGGGCAGCCTGAGGTCAGTGAGTACTTTCTGCACATGCACACACTCACAGTTGCTGTTTTCATAGTTATAAATAGATACCAGTTTAAACGCAGTGCAACACGTACAACCAGCTGTGCTGTCGTTTGTCCACGTCCAGCGTGACGTCATCCAGAGAGACCACAGTGTACACGGCAGAGTGTTTGAGAGATGACCTGTAAGTCACATTATTTTAGCCTGTTTCTATTTTTCCTGTTTGATTAAAACTTGTCTAAAGCTCACTGTTCATCTCGCTGTTCTGTCCGTGTTTAGAGATTCGTTGTTGGAGTTTCTGGTCAGCGTGACCACAGCTCAGGAGTTCCGGCCGTGGGAGGTGGACGAACTGACGTCCAGGGTGAAGATCGACAAGGCTCTGGCTCAGCAGTGTCCTCAGATAGGTCGGTACCGGGAGCAAGAATCCAGCTCATAACGTGATGGAGGAAAATCAAACTTTGACATTTTTGATGACAAATTGAGGAGCACGGACGTTATAAGCAACCGTGTCCTTCAGATCCCCAACCGTTCATCTGATCTGCTTCAGACTCGGTGGGTGTATCGCCAAGGACCCGGTGAAGCCCCGATCAAACTTAACTTGGGCCCCTCAGGCTGTCATTTGGCTTTCTGTGACATTGCCACATTCTGACAGTGAAAACTCCCTCAAAGGATTTCCCTCCAAAATGTTTGTAGAGCTGCTCAACGCTAGAGCGTATGAGCCCGAGTGAACGATGGGTGTCTGCGTCTGGTGCGACACCTGGTTAGATCCCTGGACTTGAAATTAGTAATGTGGAGTTGATGTAAGACCTGAATAAGTTCATGTATAACACTAGGAGAGGAGGTGTGCATCCATCCTGGTCCCCAGCTTCTTAGCTTTAGGCTCCAAAGTGCAGATTCTTAGCGGGATGGAGACATTAGAGTCATTAGATATCAGCCTTTATGCTTCGGCACTGAGGTCAGTTTCTTAAAACAAAAAAAACGACAACAACAAATATTCTCCTGCTTACTGTAGGCACGCACGAATGTTGGTGATGGAACGTTTTTGAGCAGCAGTGGGGCTGTTGTGACAGCGGGTGGTGCAGCAGGGGGCTGTTTAAAGCAGCTAGCTTGGACACTCGTCATGCATGTACATGTGATGTTAGAAAAACACTGGAATTTGTGTCATCAGATGAATTGAATAACTATCTGCTGAGCTGTTTAAAATGCTCGTGTGAATTAGTTGCGTCTCTTCATGTCGTGGGAACCGTTGCAGACACAGTGAGCAGAGAAGCAGTCGTAGCCGGATGCATCATTTTCCTCACTTGACTTCATTTCATTTCCTATCATGTGACTTCTGTGCACTTCTGTGCATATCTGGGTCCTGGTCATATTAATTAAAATAGTTACATTATTAGAAGTTCCTGTTGTGTACTGTGGTCCTGCAATCATAAATACCACCAGGCCGTATTGACTCTGTTGGTTGTGCATCGTTCATTAAGACCATTTGATCATAAACAAGTATTACATTTAGTGTGTTATTAAAAGGTCTGTAGAAGTCATGTGGAGATTAACAGTGTTCAAAATGGAAGTCTGTTTTTTAAGTGCTAAATGTATTGGTTCTGAAGTTATTCTGTTTTCTCCTGCAGGTATAATTGAGATGTTGCATGAAGTCGCTTACAAAAATGCCCTGTCCAACTCTCTGTACTGCCCTGACTTCATGGTCGGCCGGATCTCCCCTGAGCAGGTACGTGTGTTGTGTTTGCACTTCCAGAGTTATTCACCGACAGCTTGGGGAGAATAAACTTCCTGAAAAATGTGTGGTTCTTACACTCCTCTCCTCCTCCTGCAGCTGCTCTCGTTTGTTCAGGACACGTTCACCACTGGCAGAATGGCTCTGGTGGGACTAGGTGGGTGTCGCCTTTCTCATCAGGCTTTGTTAGTCAAGCTGTTTGATGTGCGTCACACAGGCAGTGATTCAATGCTGGCATGTGGAAACTGTGTTTATTACAGTTGTGCGTTGATCTGTCCTATTTATACGTCCAGGTGTGAAACACTCCGTCTTGAGGCAGGTGGGCGAGCGGCTGAGCGTCCACAGCGGGGCCGGAGCTCCTGTTGCTAAAGCTGTTTACCGTGGAGGTAAAAACTTGTGTCAAGAAGCAACACTACACTCTTAAGATCCACCGCTGCTTCATTTTCATGACCATGTTTTGCATGTAGGTGAGCTGCGGGTGCAGAACAACGATGCCCTGGTCCACGCCCTGGTGGCCAGCGAGGGCGCTGTGACGGGTAGCGCTGAGGCTAATGCCTTCACTGTGCTGCAAGGGATCCTGGGAGGCGGTCCACACGTAAAGAGGGGCTGCAGCATCACCAGCAAACTGAGCCAGGGTATCGCCAAAGCTACCACACAGCCCTTTGATGTAAGTTAAAGACTCGCAGAAACAGTCTCTGTGCCAGTTCTGAAAACAGCGATGACGGTGCTATTAGAGGGCTGGATTTCATTCTCAGGATTGCATTTTCTTTTTGAAGCAGACAGCAAACATGTATGTGGTTCTATTTATATTATGCAAGCTGTAAGGTAGATGCAGACGGTCCCCACACATCAAACACAGAAAAGCACACGAGGATCCTGTGGATGGTTGTGACAGTTAAGCTGTGTTAGCAGGACGTGTCAGAGATTATTCCTGAAACGTGACGACGTCGGCGCAGGAGTTCTGGAGAATTTAGAGTCGTCAACGTGTAGCTCAAAATCTAAGCACTAAAGATGCAACTGTTTTCCTGATAAATGATAAAAGGGTGGATAACGGAGAACATCCTCGCTTACGGTCAGAATTTTTAGGCTGCGCGTGGACGTCTGAAGAGAGCACAAAAGTATCCGACACACTGACCATTACGGACACAAAGAAGACAACTTAGATGTTCTTGTTTGACCTCCGGGAGTTTCTGAACACGTGCAGTCGTGGAAGTTATTTGTTCATATTTCCTAGACATCTCAGCTGCTGTAAAAAGCGAAGGAGAAATTGTGTCACACAGCCAACGTTAGGGCATTCAGCACGGTCTGCTAAATGTTTTAACTGAATGCAAACAAAAGTGTGTCTTTAAATGGTCTGTAGCTCAGCTGGAAAAGGGAGGTGTTGTCATTTGTGGGCCTTTATGGTGGCATGCTGGGTTGGAGTTGGTCTCTTGATGACCTCTGCTTGTCTTCCAGGCCACCGCCTTCAACGCCTCGTACTCTGACTCCGGCCTGTTTGGCGTCTACACCATCGCACAAGCTCACTCTGCAGAAGAGGTGACTGCCAGGTTTTCTGTGTGCAACTTCGTCTAAAATGGGCCAAAATGTCCGTCGTACCAAACTCGTCTCCTTTGTCCGTGCAGGTGATCAAAGCTGCCATCGCTCAGGTGAGCAGCATGGCGGAGGGAGGCGTGTCAGCGGCTGACGTCACCAGAGCAAAGTGAGTTTACTGCGAGGAGGCGGTTTTGTTGTTTTGCAGTTGTACCTAAACTCATGTTAGCACGTCTTGACGCCGGTCTGCGACTCTACGCAGGAACCAGGTGAAAGCTGAGTACCTGATGTCGACCGAGAGCTCTGAGAGCCTGATGGAGGAGATCGGTGCTCAGGCTCTGGCCACTGGAGCCTACCAGGTCCCTGACGCCACCCTCAAGGCCATAGACGCCGTCACCCAGGACGACGTGGTCAAGGTGAGTGATTTCACGGGCAGAGGCGGTGAGAAGACGCTTGTAAAAGTGATCATCCACGTGTAGTGTCTGTTCCATTAATTACATCCACCGTTTTGCTTTAACTTCTAATGTAAGCCCTTAAAATGTAGATAATCTCTGTGGTTGAACGAGCAAACTCCTCCTGTGTGTGGGAATTAGTTGTTCCTGTCGGTCCGTTTTTGGTTTTGTGTGCTTTAGATCGAATCAAGTTTCAACCAAAGACAACCAACATGCCGTTTGTTCACAATCGCAAGGAAAAAGTTTTGATCCCTGCATTGAAATCGTTTCGTAACAGGAGACCTTTTCCAAGAATGCAAACATTTACAGGACAGCAGCGTTAGCGGAGGGAGGGATGTGAAAACGTCCCGTAGTGTTCAGGTGGACCGATGGCCGACAGTCCGACGGCTCGGCTGCAGAAACGTCCCTTAAGTTAAGGCAGTTCCCTCCATTCCTCCCGTTGCTCCTGATGATTCGTGGCTCTTATTTGGCACAAGAATTTCCTCTTTAATTCAAACAAACCAACAATGCAGATTCACCGTTCTGTTTCTTCTCGGTGCCTCCGCCGCCTCGTTTGACTTCACAGCTGTTGTCATGGTAACGCGACTGTGATGCTGCTGCCGTACTTTCACCTCCAGTTTCTCCTCCTTTTATTCCTGATTTTTCTCCATCTGTTATCGAAAGATTGTTTTGTAAGAGTCATCCGGTTAAGACTCAACAGTTTCTTTCAGTTTTGGGGAATAAAATTTCAGTTGGTTGAGAAACAATACAAATGCAGCGTTAGTCGTTACATTTAGAAGTTTGTCGGATCGTGACACACCAGATATTCTTTTTGTTTTCAATTGTCTTTAAAATACTGTATGAAGCATGACATCTGTACGTTCTACATACTTACAATATACAGAAATATCACAGATTTTGTATTAATTTCACCTATTTTTGTGGTTAAGCTTCTGCTTAGGCTCTTTATTTAATGACCACAAATCAGAATCACAATCAGATTTATTGGCAGGTGTATTTTGCACAATACGAGTAATTAGTTCTGGTGCGTCGGTGCAACAACAAATATACACAGTGAGGAACAAGATAGAAATAGAAAAATAGCTAAAAAATAAAAACACATGTGGTAGTGCAAAGCAGAAGCAAAAGATATTGTGCAGTGAAGAATTAACTTCAGTTTAAATAAGAACCATAGAGCTGCAGTAGGATGCAGGGTGTGGAGGTGCAGCATGAACAGTGAGGATAATGAGATGTTGAGCAGAGAGACAACATGTTCATGTAACGTGTGCTGTCCATAGAGGGGGCGGGTCGGGCTGGGTCGGACTGGGTCGGGTCAGTGGAGGTCCTGTGCATTGTTCATGAGGCTGGTGGCAGATGGAAAGAAACTCTTCTTTTGGCGGGAGGTTCTGGTCCTGATGGACCGAGGCCCCCTCGAAATGCGTTCGTGCACTGACAATGTTGTGATTTATCGTTCAGCATTACTCAGCAGAACTCGACAACAAATCCAACGTTTTCTGTCTTTTCTTCACAGGCTGCGAAAAAATTTGTGGCCGGCAAGAAGACCATGGTAGCTACCGGACATCTCAGTAATACACCGTTTGTGGATGAAGTATGAAAATAAACCATAAGAACAGTCGATTTTAACTCGGCTCTGCTGTGTCTGGCTGTTTTAAAAAAAAAAGTAATAATAAGGAAAGAGGACCTCAGAGCCACAGCGTCCTGCAGCAGTTCATTGGATGTCACCGATCATTTGTAGTCTGTCCTGCAGTATGTGTTCACCGACGGGGAGCTGCAGGCTCGTAAAGCAGCTTTCCCTTTTGGGCTTCTTGTCAACTTCACTGTATATCTATGTAAATTAAAGTAATGACCGTAAAACAGGTGGTGGTTGTTTGAATTTTGCATCTCGGAATGAACTCCGAGGCAGAGTGGAGTATGAGAGTGCATTTATTTCAGAGGTGTTGTTCCCTCCGTTGACCAGCAGAGGGCCCCAGAAGTCCTGTAAAGTTTCCTTTAATCCAGAACTGAACATTTTATCTTAGAGGCTTTGGTTGTCCAGACAGCAGATTTAACAGTTATAGAAAAAAGCCCAAAAACTATGAGATCTGATCTTTTGGGAAGTGAGAAAATGTACATAATCAAAATAAAAGTCCTCTACGTGTCCCGGTCCAAGTCATTGTGACATTTTTGTGTTATCGTGTTGATTAGTATTCACCAGTTTAGGCACAATTCAAATGTTGTTGCTGCTTCATTAAGACTATTTTTACTGTATTTTAAAAATAGCATTTTTAAATGGAGCAAATGCAGATTAAATATGGATCTGCAGAGCAGTTTAATTGTAGTGAAGTATACTGCATCTGCAAAGTAGCAAAAATATTCAAATGCTCGAGTATGAAGTGTCAAGAACGCTTTGATTTTAATCACTTTAGTGAAAATAGTTAGTTTTCACTGCTGACGACTTAAAATCAGGATAAACTTTTGGGTTTCCACAGTCTCCAGGTGGTGTTTTGTCCCCTAAACTTAAGTATATTATTCTGTCTACACAAGTATTTACCTGGAGGTCTTTTATACTGGAATAATAGGTTGAGTGTGTCAGTCACAGCTGTGGATTATCATTTTAATTAAGTGTTTAGGCTGAAAAAAAAGAAAAAGAAAAAAAATCACACACAAAAAACAGCATTCAAAGACAGTCTAATTTTCTAAATGTGTGTTTTAAGTTTGATTTTCAGATGATAAGGTCACAGCTTATTTACTTTAATGGTGCAAATTTGCGATTAATCAGTAGATCCGATCATTAAAGTGAAGGAACTGCTGTGAAGCTGGGACTGAAGTGTTCCAGTGGAAGGTTTGTGTTGTGCTGTGTCATCACGCCGTTGATCAACAGTTTGTACATTATTATGAAGCTGTTTCCCAGTAGGTCAACGAGAATGCATCGTTTTTCAGCTGGAGCGTATGTTATTGATCTCAGTTAAATCTGGAAAGTAGCTTGTCATTGTCAGATAAATGTAGTGGAGTCTACTGCAAGTATAAAGTAATGATACTCAAGTGTTAAGTACCTCATGAGTGTTCCTATTTAAGAGGAATAGATGAGTAAATATAATTAGTTTTCAACACTAAGCTAAAGAATGACTGAATTGTCTGATAAAAAGTATTCATTGGTAATTAGGAAAGGAGGTCTAATCTCAAAATATGAGTTTTATTATAGAAATGATTATATTATGTCAACGTTTTCAAATGTATTCTGTTTTATTTGCACCATTAAAGTAAATATGAGGCAGCTGCGATCAAATCAAACTGAAAGCTCCTATTTTGAGATCAGACCTCTTTGAATGCTGTTATTTCTTTTCTTTTTTTGTTTTTACAGATTAAACGTTTAACCTGGTAGTATTGTTCCCATCTAGAAGTACTCCAGGTAAATACTTGTGTAGTTTGCTGTGTTTGGTTCAGACAGAATCATATGTTTAAGTTTAGGGGACTGTGGAAACTCAAAGGTTTATTTTAGTGGAGAAACTAACTCTATTTACTCGAGTATTCCTCTGAAGGACACCGGCCCTTTCTTCCTGCTGCTGTTAGCGCACAGAAAAAATCTGTCACTACAACTCTGTGGTACAATATCAGCTTTAATAAATTATGAATAGTTTGCACTTTCATGTACAACCCCGTGCAAAATGTGTTATATACTGATTGACTGATTTCCTTATTTTCATGTCATGCACACAAACCCTCATGGGTTTACAAGACACCAGTATTAAAGCGTTGCAGCAATACATCCAAAACACACACGATCCAGCAGCTCAGTCCTTTAACAAAATATGTTGCCTTCGATCACAGGCCTGGCAAAGAAATTCTGCCGTAGAAAAGGTTCCCCTTCTAAAACATAACTCAGCTTTTTCATCGTCATCAACCAAAAGAAATCAGCATTAACAGAGGACATGTTCCTGAACAGTACCTCCCTTCATCTTCATATGCAGGACAGTAGAACATGAACCTCATCCTCAACCTCACCTAAATCACACACACACACACACACATATATATATATATATATGCATGCATGCATAGTTTTCTCACTGGCTGCTATGAGTGCTTGTGTATATTTTGATTTTTTTTTATTATTATTATTTTCACTGCGCACTGCTGCACATTTCCCCCCAGCGGTCTTGATCTTGACACTTCGTTGAGTTGTAAAAACAAACACACTTTTCTGTTCTAAGCTTGACAGAGCAGAACGAGGACTTGTTGTCGACCTTGTGACGTTTGGGGGCTTTAAAGCTGCGCCTCCGTGAATTCAGGGCGACTCAGGACATCAAGAACCCCGTTTTTTCAGAGTATCGCGAGAAGTGAGCGAGCGTCTCCCCTCCTGAACGTGAAGTGTCTGTGTGTGTGCGCGTGTACGTGCGCGCGCGCGACACTGCGTGGGGGTGTCCGTCCGCCTGATGTCATTTGGCAGAAGGGGAGGCTGAGCTAGCGGTGGGAGCACAACAATACCGTCACCGTCGCCACCGACCGCACCGGGACTGTTACCGTCGCTCCGAGGGCTCCGAACGGGCGAAGCTGCGGTTTGTCCGGAGGAGGACAGTGGGAGGGGTGGCTGGCTGGCTGGCTGGCTGGCTAACGGACCCGCGGCACCAGATGCTATTCCAGCGGAGAGCGGAGGACGGGCTCGCCGAGGCAGCAGCAGCAGCAGCAGCGGGTGATGGCTTCTCGTTTCCCCGACGGCTAAACCTTCGCTAAAACACGGATACCGCACAGCGACGGGACCTCGCTCCGCTTCCTCCCGCGCCTCCGTTCGGCGTTTGTCTGACATGTTAGCTCGGTCTCGGCCGTCGAGCAGCCTCTGGGCCGCAGCTCGGCACACCGAGCCCGAATCTGGGAAGTAGCTAGCTAGCTGCCCGCTAGCCGCAGCTGTAGCCGATGCTGCCGCTGCGGCTGCTGCTGATCCCGGAGACAGCGCGCTCGCTTCAGGGCCTCGCCGAGCTCCATTGTTCCGTTTGAGATGTGATGCTTGTGTGCGCGGAGCCGTTTGTAGCTGGAGGCGACGCCGAGGAGCTAACGTTGCTGCGAAATGCCCAGCAGAAGCACAACAGCGGGCTCCTGTTGAAGGGGGCGAGGTTAGACTGATCACAGCCCACCCCGAGGCTCCGACACCCGGGGGCACATTTGGACTACGACCGCCGCATTTCTCCCTCCTCCCCCCCCCCTCCTCCTCCTCCTCCCCCCCTCCCCCGACGTCCTTCACCGCTTCCTGTCGATATGGATAAACTCACGATCATTTCAGGGTGTCTGTTTCTGGCGGCAGATATCTTTGCAATAGCCAGCATTGCAAACCCAGACTGGATCAACACCGGGGAATCGGCAGGTAAACGCGGCACAAGTGCCCTTATGTGCGATGTGTGTGTTGTTTGTTGTTGTTGTTGTTGTTTTTTGCAGGATTGGCTCCACATCGCAGCATTGTTTGGCATCAGATAATCTTCTCAACAAAGAAACGTCCCATTGTGTTGCAGGGTTTCATCTGCAGCAGCATCTTTTGTCCTCCACAGCAGCACTGTTTGTGTATTATTATTATTATTATTATCATTATTATTATTATTCACCCCCAAACAGAAAGTAGCAACAGCAGTCACACAGTTGCATTATTGATTGATCAGCACCAAGGCTGTCTGCTTTAGGCCTATAGATAGATAGATAGATAGATAATCCATCCCTTTGGGCAAATGCAAGTTGTCCTGCAGCTCACTCATGTTACATTTAAGAAAAACCAGGAGAATAAGGTGCAACATAATGTGCAAATCATGCTGGTAGAAGAAGCAAGGTACAAAACCACGCTGGTATTTTACAATAAAGAGTATTTACAAGTATAAATACGGCATAGCAATGAAAACTAATAGTCATGATAAGCAGTTGAGTCAGTGCAGTGTGGCTGATCTGTGCAAAGCTTCATCATTTTCCAGATTCCAACTAAATGTCTCAAACAACAACCAAATCAGTGTTCAGATTGAGAAAAAGCAGCAGATTGTCATTCTGAGACTCATTTGTTTGATTAAAGGGCCGAAACGGTTCACAAATGTGCAAGTTCAAGTAAAAATCAAGCACGAAATGGCAAATATTTGGAGATCCACCGACTCAGAATAGTGAATTTTCTGCCTTTTGTTTGTAGCTTGTAATTATAAACTGAATATAATATTTTTTGAAATTTTTTTTTGGACAAAATTAAGTAAATTGAGGATGTTACTTTGAATTATCGTGGCGATCAATGGATTAGTGAAAATAATCATTGCTTGCAGGATCTGTCAAGCAGCTAATTGATGAAGGGTCTTGTTTCAGCTCTGGCAGTACCGGCGGTTCTGTTCGTACGGGTGACTTGACATTTGAAGTGACCTCCATGTGATCGCGGCTAATCAGCGCGCGCCTACGGAACCAGAGCAGGTGTTTATTTGCGGCGTCCCTCCTGATTTTGGACAGAAGCACGTGCTGCTGCCGGCCTCCGTTTTATTTGTGTCAGGCCTGAAAACACATTGCGGCTGTTGACAGACAGCTGCTCCTCTTTGTTCCCTCTGCAGGCAGACGGCTCAGGAAGTGGGTCAGCGAGGGTTCAGCGCACAGCGTCCACATTGTGTTAGCTTAGCCGTAAAACGTGCAAAACTGTAAGCAAATGAAACGATGCTAAACGTGATTGTGTCCCTCGGTCCTGGCCCGTCTAAACTTAGCACACGAGTTAACTCCATGGCGGCTGCACACTGACATCCTCAGTTCTGTACCTGCTGTACCGAAAGCTGAACCTTTGCTATATTTAACCTGCGCTGTGGTGTTGTGTTGTTATTAGAGCTGTCGCTCTTTGTGCTTCCCTCTCACGGCTTTGACCTTTTTGCTTTGATGATCGTGATGTACAGAGAGGATTACTCTGATTATTGTTTTGTTTTTTTTTTTGTAGAAATTATCCAAGTTCTGTACTCATTTTGGACATTTTCTGTTTCAAGTCATATTTGGACCGATTTTTAATCATTTAGTGCGTTATTTTTGTTGTTTTTATTATGTTTTGTGTCATTTTGAACAGACTCTGAGTCGTATCCCACCGATTTAAGTCATTTTGGACATTTCTTTGTTTTTTAGGACTTCCTTGTGTCATTTTGTACATTCTTTGAGCGATTCTCGACAGCTTTTGGGTCTTTCTTAGGCAGTTCTGTGTCATTGACATCTTTCAGAGAGCATCGTATGAAACACATGCTCCTGTTTGTCTTTCCTTATGGAAAAAGGGAATGAAGGGAGGTCATCTGCTGCCACCAGTCTGGTGGAGTGTCTTTGGTTTGGAGGGGCGCTGTGTTCTCTTGCAGAGTCAACCTGCTCTGTGGATTCTCACCTTGGACAGTATGCTGCAGTTTCTGCTCCTTTTTGTGAGGCATACGCGACCTTCATAGATTATTTGGTCGACTGGAAATTAAACGCAGACACGATTTTTACAAAACAAATCTCTGGTGTTGTCGTTGTAGGACTGAGCATAAACTAGAAAGTCTGCATGATGTTCACCTTTCATGCTGAATGTTTGAGAAGGTGTTTTTGACTGACCTTTGATGGAAATCTGTTACGACGTGAGTGTCACCAGAAGAGCCTTTATTACGCTGTGACGGGCAGACACAAACATTTGTGGTTAGATTTTGCAGAGCTGTTTTAAGTGTTTATTCAAACGTTTGGTAACAACTCTACGGAGAGCAGTTGGTAATGAATTACTGTATAATGAAGTGAATTATTGATTCATAATGTAGACATGATATCACGTCTCTGTGTCTGCATTAGTGTGTTTCTGTTTATACACTTCATTGAGAGGTGAAGCGTGAGTTTTATTTTTTTAAATACAAACGCTGCATTTCTTAGTTTGATCTTGTGGCCTTGATGCATCTTTCTTCTCATCTATGTTGTGATGGATATATTTAATAATTGTATGATTTGTCCTCAGAGCCCTGCTCCTTTACAAATTTTATGTGAAACTGCTGATTTTTAGACCCTTTCTTACATCTTGGAGCCGAGTTTCTTTAGTTTTTAATTGTTAGCAAGTTATCTGTGAGTTAATTGATGAGCTGTTTCCGTTATTGTGTCCAGCCCATTCCACATGCTAGTGTGTCATTTGAAGGTATTATGAAGTGCGGACCGATGACTCCCCACATTTCTGTTATCTCCCGTCAGCTGACCTCTGGTTCCAGCTTTGTTGTTGTCTCCTCAGAGGGCTCAGAGCTCCACAATGTGCCCTTGTAGGACCACAGCGTGACGTCTTTGGGCTGCGAGTGCTGAACAGACATGTTCCCCTGGGCAGCGAGCATTGATAAAGGCTGACTGTGCTCCAGGCGCGTGGCTTTTACCTCCTGTTTCGCTTTGATCTCGGCTTATATGTGAACTAATGAAGAACGGGTTAAAAGGCTTGTGCAGAAAGTCACTGGCCGCTGATTGGCTTTTCTTATAGCTGTCAACACTGAGTGTAAAACCACCAGGAAGGAGAAGGAGCGCCTCTGTTACCCAACGCAGAGTGTGGTTTCATGTTGTTGTCCTCACTTCAGTGTGAGATTCTCAGGTAATAACTGCTGAAGCACATTTCCTGTGCTGAGCTTCAAGACAAAGCCATTGTCGTTGCAGTGTCACACACAAACTGTGATTCCTGGCAGCTCTGCCAGCGACTGCCCTCCTGCAGATCCTTGTCACCACTGTGGATGTCATCCTCCAGCGCCTCGACAGCCTCAAACTCTGTATGCACACGCACTTAGAAAATGCGACATCCCATCCAGGCTCAGGCTGTATCCAAAGAGAGTAATGACAGATTTTATTACCTTTGTGCCATCATTTCATTTGTAGCTTCAGCTTCAAAACTCGCAGGTTTGCATCTCACGAAATCGATTTTGCACAAGTGCTCTTGTGACGGGAGCAAACCAGCACTTACCATCCCAGCGTCGCACTATCCTGAGATTACTTTGAAAGTGTTTTATGGCATGCAGCGAGCTGCTGAATGGAGCTGAAGTCAAAGGCGGCTGTCGATGGTGATCACAAGGTGATAGTCATTCATTTAGCATTTTTATCTTGATTTTTCTTTTTATCTGATTGTAAATAATCTAAACACTACAGATGTCTTTCTCTCACAGTGGAAGATGTGTATTATGAAGTGACTGCCATTCAGCCTGTCGAATAACAAACATACCAATTTATTTTCCATTTATTCTGAGCGCTGAGGAGCTCCATCAGCTCCAATATGCTGCTGCGAGTTTGTGCTCAAAACCCTCAGTAGACATTGTGCATAGTAGTTGTTGATCGTGGCTTTACTGTGCTCTCTTCACTAAGTAACACAAGCAGCCTGACTTATTGAAAAGGGAATGCATTTCAGTGTACATAAAACCAAAAACAATTACGTAACACCAGAAAAAGACAAAAATAACACTTGGCAAAGTAGCAGAGCATAATGACTAGTGCTCAGGAGCTGCTGCTGTAGTTATAGTCTGGATCTGACTTTGCCCAAAATAGATGAAATGGGAGACGATTAAATGGTGTTATTTTAGATATCCCTTTTCAAAGCACAAGGACGCACATTGCCATCGATACAGAGCGACTGAAGCTGTGATCTTCAGTTATGAGGCTGCAGCAGACCTTTAGCCAAAGCCGTGGCACCGGCAGGTAGAGACGGACACCAGAGCTGCAGATGTAGCAGACGTGATGTGTTCAGCTGCTGCTGGCAAAGAGGAGGAAGCTTTGAAATGTGCCACCTGCTGGCAATGTGTCGTAGCTGTAACGCTCACTGCCCAAGTGGTAGAACTGCAGCAGCTATTCGAGGAATGCAGGCTGCTGCTCATTTTGACTTATTTCACTTTTCTATAGGCGCTGCAGGTTGTCGCGTGTAGAAGAAATGTTCTGGCGTCAACTTCAAAAGCTCCATCTGGTGCTTAATCTTCAGTCTGCTGAATATGAGCAGTCAAGGCTGCATGATTTGTTTCAGATCCAATTAAAAACTATATCTGTCGAGGCTGCTTGTGGGTTTCTAGCGTAAACATACAGTCGTTAATATTTATATTGAAGCGTTGGATTTCTTTGCAGTAGCTGATACCCTGCAGCCATCCAAACTTATTCTTGTTGTTTAATGGTATGTACTCCTAATAAATGTGCAAACATTGCTGTGCTGTTGCTTTTTCCTCAAAAGTAATAGGTTTTTTTTGCTTTTTTAAATTTATTTTGTTGGTCGGGATGGCAACCTTTGCCCCATAAGTTTGCATCATCTAAAAGTCTGATTGTTGGTCGACTTAAAAATCCTGATTTTTGTCCTGAAAATAAGGCATCAAATGAGAAGCTGACTGTGAACTGCAGCAGACTAAACTAAGATGTTCTGTGGCT